ACCAGCCACTCCTCGGAAGGAAGGTTGGGCAATCTACTTCCGTAGTGATACTGCCTCAGAAACCCAAGGAGGGGTCACTATGAGTCGGGTCTGACTAGATGGCACATAACAACAACAACAACAACAACAACACATTCAACTGATATAGTTGAATTTTTACCATTGTACTTTGTGTTTTCCATTTGTCCCACTTTACTATTATTATTTTTCTTTCCTTATTTTGAATTATTTGGTCTCATTTCTATTTCCCTCCCTCTCTTAGCCTAGAAGTGATACACTGTTTCTCTTCTATTAGTGAATTCCCAACAATTAGTAAAAGATGCCTGAATTCATATATTAACTTGTACAGTTGTCAGTTCACTCAATTTTAAAAGATATTTTCTATGAATATATAATTCTAGGTTGATTATTGTTTTCTTACAACTCTATTTTCTTGTGTGTTTTCGAATTTTTGACTAGAGATCATAGTTCTTGGGATTTTGTCCAGGAGAATTCTTCACAGCCTGAGTTGAAGGTGGATTCCTCCAGAAATGATTTGCTCCTTTTGCTCCCGATACTACAAGGGGGGACTACCAGCCCAGGGCCACTTGCATCTAGATCAACAATGTGTAGTTTTTCAGATCACCTGGGTGGTGTGAATTTGGAATGAAAGTTAAATCAGGAAAGCCAGCTTGTGGTTATGAATTCCCAAGGAAGATTTTTTCCTGTTCTCACTCAGAGCCAAGGTTCAAGTCAGGAAATTTTCCTTGCAGTCTCCCAGAGGAGCGAGTTATTTCTAGTTCATCCTTAAACGGAGTATATTACCCTTTGTGGTTTACAGTTTTGTGCAGAGGGTGTCTTACTAGACTCCTTATCTTGAGGTAGGCCTGAGCGCTCTCTGGTCCCTTATATTCTGCTAACGTATGAAAACCAATGTTCAGGTTCACCTGGCTTGCAAGGTGAAAGCCAGCTTTCATGTTCTGCTTTTCTGTCTTTGTTCCTTAGTTTTTGGTTTGTGAGTATTCTTCATTTCATAGGATTGTAGTGAAGACCAACTTGTTATAATAATAATAGCTACTCTTTCTATGGGAGCTCTGGTGGTGCAGTGCTTAAGGCATTTGACTGTTAACCAGAAGGCTGGTGGTTCAAACCCACCAGCCACTCCTCGGAAGGAAGGTTGGGCAATCTACTTCCATAGTGATACTGCCTTGGAAACCCAAGGAGGGGTCACTATAAGTCGGATCTGACTCGACTCTTTCTATATCACTTCCTATGTGTCAGGGGTTATGCTAAATGTTTTATACACAATATCTTAATTCCCACAACATCTCTTTCAGATGGAACTATCTGCTCTGTTTTACAGCTGAGTGCATTGAGGCTTAGAGATGTAAAATATCTTGCCCAAAGTTAAATGCTATCAAGTTGAGATGGCCTTTGGTCTGTGGATGCAGCATTCAGGTTCTTTGCGCTGTAGACTTTAGATAGCTGGCTGAGCTTGCTGTGTAAGAGTCAAGTAACCACAGTCTCCGATCATACCCTTGGTCTTGCAGCCATGGTCCTGGTATTTAACGAGGCATCAAGAAGGATAGCCCCCTCTTCCTTGGCCCTTGAGGGTCAGCTTTCCCTTACCAGCCACAAGGGTTGGTGACTCAGATGAGTCCTTGCTACAACCTGAAGCCTTCAGTGTGGGTGGAGCATAGTTTGGGAGAACAGTTAGATAGACTGGAAGGGGTGTCAGATGAAAGAAGGATAGCAGAATAAAAACAAGGTGTTTACTCACTCAGCTACACTGAGCAACTTGTAGACAGTGTCTCTGAATGACATTGCATGTGTGTTTGTGTGGGAGTGGTGTCCGAAGAGTATGTCTGCAGTCTTGTTTTTGCTGGATGTAAAGGTTGGTGATAACTCACAAGGTGAGGAGTACATTTGAGAAAATTCTTCCCCCACTCTTCGGTTATCTTCCCCACTCCTAGATCTTAGATAATGAAATTGAGCTTAAAAAAACCCGGTTGCCATCAAGTGGATTCCAATTCATAGCAACCCTACACAGCAGAACAGAACTGCCCCATAGGGTTTCCCAATGAGCTCTGGTGGTGTAATGTGGAAGGAAGATGGGGCAATCAACCTCCATAAAGATTTACAGCTTTGGAAACTCCATGGGTCGGAATCACTTCGCCGGCAGTGAGGTTTTTTTTTTCCCCCCCAATAGGGTTTCCAAGGCTGTAATTTTCACAGAAGCAGATAGCCACATCTATCTCCTTGAACTACTGCACCACAGTACTCCTTAACAAACTACATCAAAAAACGAACAAACTCCTCCTGTAATGCTGCTGGTGAGTTCAGACCACCAACATTTCCCTGTTGGTTAGCAGCTGAGTGCTTAACCACTGCACCACCAGGGCTCCTTAAAACTGTACTTCCAGATGGTGAAGAAAAAAAAAAAAAAGAAAACTTGCCCAAGATTTCACAGCCTATAAAAGAAACAGAATTCAGATCTAGACCTCTGGCTCCAAAGACCTGCCCTTTCCATGATCTTAAGCTTTTTTCAAGCTAATTAAGGTGGACTCTTCAAAAAGATATGAGATGATTCAGTTTATTTTTTATAAGTATTTTTCTAAAAAACATTGTTTACTGTAAAATATTTAGAAAATACTAAAAATACTCAAAGAAGTAAAACACTATTCTCAGTGATAACTACTGATAAATTTGGTAATTTCCTTCCACTTTTTTTTCCATGCAAATATCAACAAAATTAGAATAATGCTGTAAATAGTTTTGTATTTTGCTTTTTCATTTAACATTGTCTCATGAACATTTTCTCAGGTCGTGAAATAGTTTTTATAAACATGATTTCTTTTTGGTTGTTCATATGCTTTAATCTACTCAGAAATGACATATACTAATTCTTTACACATAAACATGATTTTTAATGACTAAATAATGTTCCATCCTATGGATGTTGTTGTTTTTGTTAGGTGCCTGTGGAGCCAGCTCCGACTCATACCGACCCCATGTACAACAGAACGAAACACTGCCTGGTCCTGTGCCAGCCTCACAATACTTGCTATACCCATGGATTGGGGTCATTTATTTAAGTCTTTTATGGTGTAGTGCCTAAAGCATTTGACTGCTAACCAGAAGGCTGGTGGTTCAAACCCATCAGCCACTCCTTGGACAGAAAGGTTGGGCAATCTACTTCCATAGTGATACTGCTTCAGAAACACAAGGAGGGGTCGGCTATGAGTCGAAATTGACTGGACGGCAATGAGTTTGTTTGTTTTTTGATGTAGTTTGTTAAGGAGTACTGTGGTGCAGTGGTTAAAGCGTTGAGCTGCTAACCGAAAGGTCCCAGGTTTGAACCCACCAAATATTCTGTGGGAGAAAGATGTGGCAGCTTGCTTCTGTTAAGATTTACAGCCTTGGAAACCTCATGAGACAGTTCTACTCTGTCCAATAGGGTTGCTACAAGTCAGAATCAACTCGACTGCAGTGGGTTTGGGTTTTTATTTAGTTTCTAGCTTTTTACAATGGTAAATATGCAAATATTAACGTTTTGCATAAAATACCTATCATCATCTCTTATTATTTCCTTAGGACAGGTATAGGATAATAGTGGGTAAATGGGTATGAATATTTTAAGGCATTTGATGGATAATGTCAAATACAAAGTACTAGAAGGGTTCTCTCTACCAGTAGAATAAGGGTGGTACCCTCATCAAGACTGAGTATCATTAAAACATCTTGGTATGTTTTGAAAAGGAGCATGCCAAGATTCAATCACACAGGTTGCCGACTGTGGAGTGGATTGCAGGGGGCAAGACGTCGCAAGGAGACGTTTAGAGGATGGTTGCGATGATCCCGCTAGGACGTGATGGGGGGCTTGAGCTAGGCAGTAGGGCTTCAGGAGACGGAAGCACGCATTGAATGGAATATTTGATGAGGGGCGGTGCTGAAAAAACGATTACTCTCCACATAGGGTGCAAGAGAGAGAGGAGGCTACCGGTCCTGCTCTGCTTCACTCTACACGGGTCTTTGACGTTGACCTAGGCACAGCCCCCTCTCACTCCCCTAACAGGGACCCGCCCCTTTAAG